AAAAAGATCATGCTATCATCCAGCTCTGATATGAGGAAGGTTTGGGTTGATTTTTTTCTTCCGCATTGGAATAATTTATTGAAATGTTAAGAAAGATTTTATAAATAAATTCTTCTGCTTCCTGAGTATCTGTATCAGAGCTGCTCCGGTTAGTGTCGTGGGTCACCAGCTAGTAATGCTTAAATAAGTTTTGCCTGGGTTTCAGTGAAGAGCTACAAGGGGTTTCAATCCCCAGCACCTCCAGTCTGCTTTCCAGAGTGTCCTTGGGCAAGATACTGACCTCCAAATTGCCCTAGTGTATGAATGGTGTATAATAGAAAAAGCTCAGGCGGATCTGTCGCTGATGCTGCCAGCTGACCTGCTTACAATAACCAATTACAAAATAAATAAATAAATAGTGTATATTAAAGAAATATACACAGACATCTTGGAAATATCAGCTTGTATTGAAAAAAGAAAAAATCCCTCATCCCACCTGGATGTGAGTCCTGATCTCATAGTATTTCCCAAAAGATCTCTGAGGTAATAATCCAGTTCTGGCAATAATCCTTTGTTGTGATTTCATCAGGATCAGCCACTTGACAAACGTCGCTGGGCGCTGGCCCATCACCTGCTCCCCCCTGAGGGACGCTACTTCTCCCATTTACAAAATTCAAGAGAGAATAAAGATAGAAGTCCTTCCCCGTATTGTATACAATTAGGCTTCTGACAGACAAACAATGTACAGTTTATATTTGGTGACAGCAAAAAAAACTTGTCCCCCATGACATGTACAGCAGCCCTTTCAAGAGCAGTAGCCTAGCATAGTCAAGATAAATCAAGTTTATTTAAAAAAAAACATTTTAAAACAAAGTACCGTAGAATAAAAGAAGACACAATGTGAAATAAAAGAAAGAATTAAATAACAGACTATAAAATTAAATAACATTAAATAACATTTTTAAAAACAATTTAAGGACACTCAAAAGCCTGGGAGAACATGGGAGTCTTCAGTCTAGTCTAAAATATGTTGACAGACAGAGAGAACTTGAATGTAAATAATATAAAGATGCACCAAAGATCAGGGGGCAGCTATACAGTGAATGATCATTGTCCTTTAGTCTCGACCAAGGAACAGCCAGGACCAGCTGATCAGAGGATCTGAGAGATTGGGGAGTAGAAAGTGGCCAGAGAAGCCAAGATATGTATTTAGGGTCCAGGCCATTTAAGTGCAATAAAAACAAAAAGGAAAACCTTAACCTCATTACTATACTTAAAGGTCCAGTGTGTAAAATTTAGGTGAAAGGGATCTATTGGCAGAATATAAAATAATCCTCATGATGTTTTCACTAGTTTGTTTCATCTAAATTGTATGAATTGTAGTTTTCTTTACCCCAGAAAAGACCCTTTATATTTAAATACTTTATATTTACATCAAGAGGGTCCTCTCTACTGAGTAGTCCAGACTGGACAAACTAAACACCTTTTGAGTTTTTATGACAACTAAAGGCTACCATAGGTTGTTTTTCATGTTTGGGAGGGTGACGTGAGGGTTATTCAGCTGCAACATGCAACTTCACCACTAGATGTCACTTAATTATACACACTGTACCTTTAAGCTTAAGCCGATGCAAGGATGCAAGTACAGCTGAGATGATGTCTCTCTTCCTGGTGCTTTATCAGTCTAGCTGCAGCACCAGCTGCAGACATGACACGGACATTAGCTGGTTTTATCGTTTAGATAGATGTTGTTCATTTAGTTTTCAGGTTTTATGAGTCCTCTCTACCTGTGCTACTTTTAAGTCATAAAGGTTTCAGAATTTTTGCCATAAAATACTGCTAAGCTGTCAGCCACATATCTATCTGATGCTCGGAAATAGAAATCTTTCTCCTCGAAACACCATTTCAGATGTAGTTTAAAGCTTTAAAATTCTGGAAGAAGCCAGCCAGTGGACTGTAAAGTAATATTTTTCTTTCAAATTACTATTTGATCCAAAACAAACTTTCATATTTGAGAGAAGATGGTTAATGAGAGTCTTGGGAAATAAAGTGTAGAGTCGGCCATCGTGCTGTTGTTTCACTTGTTAAGCAGAACTTACATAATCTCAAGTGTAAATAATATGTGGTAGTAGTGACCCTTAAAAGTTCTCTTCTTGTATTTAAGTGTGACCTGCGAGGCTCCTCTGAAGAAAAGACACTTTCAGTCTTACATGAGAGTGTGGTTTGATGTGGATGATGAAAAAGATGAGAAGCTGCCTTTTATGTTGAAGGACGATTTAAAAAGTTTTTTATTAAATTGGATGATTAATTCCCACAGGGCTCACTGCTCAGAGCATATCTGTAATATGATTTGGAGAACAGTGTCCATAAATTGATAACATCCAGCAAGAGCCTCTCCAAGTAAAATGACTGTTTGACTCACAGTCTAGATGTGTACAAGTCCATTGGATCCTGTGAAGACATGAATCCCGGAAAGTCAGATTTCACCTTCTCTGGCACCAAAACTAGTGAGGATATAAGGAGGTTTTTTAACCGTGGGTAAACCATGGGCGCAGTCTAATACTGCTTGAGAGTTTTTTATATAATGCAGGAGTTTACTTTAAATGGTAGGCTAAAAACATTCATCCCATCATTTCCATTAAAAGAAAAGTGATGGCGATTATGTCCAGCTTTCTGTTGACTGAACCAAATAATGAAATGTCCGCTGGGTTTTCAGTATTAATACCTGGTGTTTGTAGATAAAAATTGTGATTCCATCATCTGTAATTGTAACACATTCCTTTTAATTTCAGTTTTTGACATGGTATAAAATTTGTTTCCAGGTAAAACTGAATAAGGAATAATAATGTCTCACGGCTCATATCAAACTCAATTTAAGTTACGTTCAAAATACTTCAATCGTCCCTGTCAGCAATGATCTGTTGGTGGTTTTTTATTATACAGCTTGGTGAAGACCAAAATGTGGGTTCAGCTTTAGTTTTTTTCTGTTTTGTATGTGTCGAGTTTTTTAAGGATGGGAGCAGGAATGAGCTTTGATGCAGTTACACAGCTGTGAAATAAAGGGAGGAAACATTGCAAACGCATTGCAACACTTCTACTATGTGTTCTGTGGAACTTGAGTCAGATTTACTTACTGAAATGGATAATACAGGGA